ATTCACCAAGTATTTATCACGATAACATTAACTGTACAGTCTATTAAGGACTAAAGATTGTTACCTACAAAGCTTATGAAATACGCCCCATTAGGAATGATTTTTGTCTTTTTCTTTCTTGCTTTTTAAGTGGGGCCTAGTGGTATGTTTTTTCAAATATTTGTACAAAATGAAATCCAAAAGCCAAGAAGCTATCAAGGGTTCAATTGCATAGTAATAAAAGTCTACATGCTTTTTTGCTCCACAGTGATGTATAAATTTCAACAAAAGAATTGTGTGTTGCTACATATCAAGATATGCAATCATCAAAATAAAAAAAGAATGCTTTTCATGTATAACACATGTATGTTGATTACACGTCTGAACAGGAGATGTAAACTTAAAATATCCAATAACATTTCACAGATCAGCATATTTTAGATGGAGACAATACTAGAGAGAACCACTCGGTAACTTAATTTAACGTACAGATGTTGAAAATGCTACTTTGCACAAATAAGTTGTTCTCTTGAACTCCTAAGTCTTAGTAGCTTTTTGCTATTCTTTTGTAGGACTTATTTAGCATAATTTAATCTCCAAAGAAACTACTGAATGTCCAAGGTTGAGATGTGTGATATCTCAAGTATCCTTAAGCTGAGGTTTAACATTAATTTTAATATTTCACTGATTTATGTTTTTTAAAAAAAGGAAATGCAAAAAATTGTGCTCACTAGATTGTATTGGCAGTCTATTTTAATGGTATAATAGAACCTTGTAAAAATTATTTTTAGTGAGGGCCTTCCAGTTCAGCACACTTTTTATGTAATATATTAAATTGCTAGTGTAGCTTTAAAATTCGTAATGCTTTGAGATCATGAAAATTAGAATAAAGTCCAAGTTTATATGGGAGAAGTAACAATAAATATAAACCTGAGATTTTTTTTTTTTGTATAGACAAGCTGTAGGATTTTTCCCCAAATTTATGTCTGATACATGTTACATTTGTAACTGCATCAGAACGCAATGGAAATACACCACCAAAATACCGTGTTAAAAGTTATGCATATTAATGGTGTTTTCTTACAAAAGGTCTTTACAAAGCACAGTGGGCATTCATTCTGTTCTAGAACTACAAACAGTAAAAGTAATTTTCATCACCTTTTAACTGTCTCTAGATATTCTTTATTTCTGACAGGTAATCAACAAATTATTCATTTTCAGTTAAAGGTAGGATAGCATCTTCAATATTAGGTATTAACCTCTGACCTTATTTTTACTGAGACCTGTAAAACTTCATTGCTAGACAGAGCAAACTGCATTACTTCCAAGGGAATTAAGTAGCAAAAATACCCTCAATCAACAAAGTCTGAAAATAAACATACATCTGTTGTAAATCTGTATTGGCTCTAATGTTAAAGTAAGGATGCCTGCCTTGACCAAGCTGCCCTGAAAAAATGCACACTAGTCATAATTACAGCACAATAAAATTCCATCTTTTTTGATAAACCTTGGGTATAATAAAACCTGTGGATAAAATGAGCTAAAATAATATTTTTAAGCTTTATATTTTGACGGTAAGGGGCATTTCTTGAACTGGCAAAAATTTTCATAATACTGATTTCAGTGAAACCATGGCAATTCATGTAAATTAAGGATCTAACCCTAAAATATTTTCATTTGTCTCATTGTACTGTAGCATGCATATACTAACAGGGCACAGACCTCAAAAGAAATGGGCAACACTCCTAATTATCAGCAGGGCTATTAACACTAAAAATATCAGCAGGGTCAAATGTTCAGGGTATTAAAACCTGTTCTAAGAGCCTGAACAGGAGCATAGTACAGGAATTCTGAGGCAGAAGGGATTCCGCCTTTTTTCATATGATTTCTATATCTTGCTATACATTTTAAAATTAAAAAACAGATGCAACCATTAGCTCATTTTAGGAGAGGATAAATGATGTCCAAAGCTAGGTTGGTTCCAGCTGTTTTATGAGCTAAATGGTTTACAGTTCTCAAACATCTAAAACCATTCTTTTATTTTCACTTGGCATTAGAAGTTTAGGGCAAGTTTGTTGGCGCTGACTTTACTCCCACATGTAGATCAAAAGTGCAAGATAGAAAGATTTAATAATATAAATATGAAACCAATCAATAATATGGAGCTCTAGTAAACCTTCATATTTTGCTCCGTAGAATTGCTTTTATTTACAAGTTTTACATTAGAATTTTCTTGATTTTTTTTTTTAAATGTTTCTTTACAGCCTGTTTGCTGAAAGCTGCTTTAAAATTATACAAGCCACTATGTCATACATCTACAGATTAGTTATCATAGACTGATAAATTCATAAGTGTATTAACTAGGATGTTGCAATAAACTGTTAGCTACTGATTTGCTTTAACATCCATTGCATGGCTGTATGTTTGCTTATGTTGCTTCAAATGAAAAACCCTGTTACTACAAAATATCATGTATTTTTTGTGGAATAAGTAAATTCTTGTTTTGCTTACAATGAGAACTTCTGAAACATAATGTGAACAGGTTATAGGACAGAGGCACATATTATGGGAAACAGGAAGATTAATTTTAAATAGATTATATTGAAAAAAGTGTTTAGCTCACTGATTTTCCCCTCCATCATTCCCCTTTTACCTTTTGGATCCTCTTCTTGTACAAAAAAAAAGAGTGCAACATGGCTCTGACTCTTGCTTCTCTTGGAAATTTAATCTTTCCTTTTCCCACCATCTCCTCTTTTGCTTCACTTTTTCTGCTTTTTATCATAGAAAACGTGTGCCAGTGCCCCACTAACCTCTAGAGTTAAACAACTCAACTGAGTTTGATCTGAAACATTGTATTTTTTTAACCGGTTCTTCAGCTGTTTAGACATTTTATACCTCAAACGGTGTCAGTCTCGCTCTTTGCCTTCTATTTTCTCCCTCCTTGTTCAACATTTCCAGAGCCTGATTGACTGACAGCAGCAGGTTGGTAAGAAACTTCGGGACATGCTGTTAACATCTGACACTGGAAGAGCGCTCAGCTTGGGCACGTTAAGGGAAGTTGCACCTATTAGAGATGAAAGAGCTCTGTGCCTGATGACTATTTACAAGGCACCTGAAACAAAATTCATTTCCCCCTCTCCCTCATCAGCTGTTTACAGTCAGAGGGTTTGTGCTGGAATAACCCCCCCTCCCAAAAAGAAAAAAAAAATAAAGGACTTGGATGTATTGCAGCCATTGCATGAATAAGTTGGGGGTAAATTTTGGTTTGGCTCCTGCAAAGCAGCGCTAAGAAAGCACTCCCGTTAGTGAATCTCTCCCGGTTGCTCCTTCCTGGGGCCCTGAGCACTAGGTCTCCTGGACCAAGCAGCATCGCTCGTCTCGCAGCGCTGGGAGCTAAGAAAACAAGTCACAGTGCAGGCATCGCCTTTGCTTTGTACTCTTCCTTGTAATATTAGAGCACATATTGAAACGATAAACACAGTGAAACGCACAAAATATTTCATCAGTGTTGTAACTGAATATTTCCTTTATTCTGAAGCAATAGCAAGGGGTGAGCAGGGCAGAGCAGCAACGAGACTTACTGCTGCTTTGGACATCGCATTAGATGGGATTGTTACAGCTACAGCTAAGTTAACACAGTATTTTTTTTTTTAATTTTTTGAGGGAAAAAAGCATTAGATCTAAACCAAAAAAAAAGGGGGGGG